AGATAGATAGATAGATAGATAGATAGATGATAGATAGATGATAGATAGATAGATATTCTCCAGCTTCAGTTTGAATTTGCACACCCACAGTTATTTACAGCTATTATTAGTTCAGTGCTGAGAAGGTCTTCCAATTTAATTTCCGTCTTTTGTTGGTGCTTTTAGCTTTGCCAAAAATACAAATCAAGAAAGCATGTGTGGATTCCAGGCCGCAAAACAAACTTGCTAATAACTCTATTGCATAAAATCCCACACACATCCTATTAACACTGGGTAGCATCTTACCATGTTTATGTGAACAATTTACAAGGTCAGGTGTGCTTTCTATATAAATGCATTAAAACGTGTTGTTATATCCGCCTGACATGCTGTTTGCATACTCATTCTGTACAATTATAGAAGCATCTTGAATGGAACTTCTATTTTGATATGTCTAATAGGTAGGGAAGAAATTTTGCAGCCAGGCGACCCTGTATTGTCAAGGAAAGCAAAGTGAGACGTTTGTCTGGTTTCCCCACACCCCAGAAGAATTTAATGGACTTCCATTCAATCATAAACAAGGACAGAGAATATATGATCATCCAGTGAAGATTAAAAAACAGATTAGGGGAGGAGTGCAGATGAAGAGAAGAGACTTTTGCTCACTGCTAGAGCTTCTGCTTTGCATGCATTTAGTGACACCAGTCCCATGCTATGAAGAAGTCTTCCAGCAGAGATTCATAGAATCATAGAACTGTAGAGTTGGAAAGGACCCCAATGGATCATCTAGTCCAATCCCTTGCAATGCAGGAATCTCAACATGTGGTTCCCCATCCAGTTTGAAACCATACCAGACTCTGCTTAGCTTTGCAAATATGTTAGCAGTTTTATTGCTGCACCACTATGTCTGAGGTGCAATCCCCCAACATCTCCATGTAAAGCTGGGGGAGATTCCTGCATGGAAACCTGGAGAACTATGGGCAATCGTTGTAGATACTACAGTGGTACCTCGGGTTAAGAACTTAATTCGTTCTGGATGTCCACTCTTAACCTGAAACTCTTCTTAACCTGAGGTACCGCTTTAGCTAATGGGGCCTCCCACTGCCGCTGCATGATTTCTGTTCTCATCCTGAAGCAAAGTTCTTAACCCGAGGTACTGCATTTTTATGTTTTAATGTTGTATTTTAATCTTGTTTTTAAGTTGTATTCATTCAACTTGTTTCTATTGGTTGTTAGTCGCCCTGAGCCTGGCCTTGGCTGGGGAGGGCAGGGTATAAATTTATTTATCTATCTATGTATCTATCTATCTATTTATTTATATTATTATTATTATTATTATTATTATTATTATTATTATTATTATTATTATTATTATTATTTCTGGGTTAGCAGAGTCTGTAACCTGAAGCGTCTGTAACCTGAGGTACCACTGTATTGAGTTAGATGGTCTGACTCAGTTTAAGGCAGTTTTCTGTGTTTAGGGAAGGGTTATAGCTCAGTGGTAGCATATCTGCTTTGCATGCAGAACATCCCAGATTGAAACTCCAGCACCTCTGGGTTAGGCTGAAAGGCTGAGAATCTCTCCTTTCTTGAAGTACTGGAGAGCTACCTAGGGCTACCTAGGGCTACCTAGGGCGGGTTTCCTCAACAACTTTTGGGGTGTTTGGATTTTTACTTTTTGAAATATGGCAACCCTAGAGTTACCACCAGTGAGTGTAGACAATGCTGAGCGAGATGGAACAATTGTCCGACTCAGTATCAGGTAGCCTCCTATGTCCAGAACTCCTCTGATGCACACACTGTCAGGAGTTCATCCTACACTCAAGTAGGACCCTGGCAGAGACACATGCCTGACTGGCATGTTCTCTCCCTCCTGGTCTTTCGTTCAGGAGCCTCAAAAGCTTTATTCAGCCCGTACATTCCAGCGACCGATGCCAACCAACACGGGCACACTTAGGGATCCGCAGAGTTTGCAAAACCTGCGCGACAGACCTCAGCAACTCAGCATTTTGGCTAATCTACTTTATTTACATATAAACACACACGGAGCACTGCAACATGGCTCCCTCCCTCTCTAGCATCAGACAGCAAAGAGAAAAAGAACAAAGGACAATGGTCCCACTTCACGGAACACAGGAACACAAACATCCTGTCTCTGTCACTTCCCACTCTGTGGAGTCAAAGCATATACCGTCATGTGATTGACAAAAAATCCCATGACTGCAATCATGGAGCAGGAATTCTAACACACACAGCTCCATCCCATGCAGACTGGCCTGTTCAATTCCATGCAGAAGGAGCTCTGTGCACACATAAAGCTGCTCTTTCCATGGAAGTGAACCTACAGAGCTGCCATTGAAATTTCAAAGCACAACATGTATATACAGTAGGCGGCTCCTTCTCAGATGGAGCATTAGGAGAAGTTCATAGTGCTGGGCCAAATTCTGTACAAATGCTTCCTGGGCTTGGGGAAGGAGTCGCGATGCTCTGACGGAGTCCGAGATCCTTCCTGCCTCTTTCCCCCCCAAAAGGTGGCAGTACTGTGTACTGCTGCATATTGCCAGAAAAAAGCACTGTCTGCGCACATCTACTCAGAAGTAAGTTCCACTGCATTCAATGGGATTTAATCATAAACAAGCAAACATGGGAATGCAGCCATCATGAATACACTAGTTATGCATTATTATATAGTTGCACATAATTATGCATATTTACATAATTGCACATAATTAAGGTATTGGATTTGTAATCACAAGGTGTTCACCCCATCCTAGGCGTCCTGTAGAAAAGGATTTAGGCAAGTCCTTGGAGAATTGTTATATTGGGGAACTAGCTATAACTCTGACCCATAACAGCTAAATGGAGCCCCCATAACGAGTGGTAGTGTACCTCTAAATACTAGATGCTGGACACATGTCTTGTCGTGAGTCTCTGAAAGGCATTTGGCTGATCCCTGTTGGAATCAGGGTGCTAGGCAAGCTGCACCATTGGTGCAATCGACTGGATGTTTTCACAGCAGCAGTCGCGGCAGAAAGCAAAAGCAAAAAAACCATCCAGGAATTTACGTGGGTCCTTGCTTATATTTATATGTTCCACATGGAGAATTATTGAATCTCGGTCTAGGAGAGCTATTTGTTCCTACTGAACAAATAACATGTAGAGGCACTGAAGCATGGGCTGATGGAAAATATTTTCTGAATGAATTTATAAATCAAATGTATCTACTTGGAAGCTTAAAGATAAAAGAAACTCGTGTCTTGAAATATGACTTCTGGGCCTTGGAGACAGAGGAAAGAGAGCGGGGAGAACCCACTCACCATCCTTTGGTGATTGCAGATGATATGAAAAGACAGATCCACTCTCTATATTGTTCATTAGAGCTTTGTGGAGCTGTACTTCTTAACTATCCTGTAGGGAGAGGCTTGCAATCCTTTCAATGAAATGCTCTCGTGCCTTTTGTACACACATTGATTTGGAAAGGAGGGGTTTGCACATAACACGCCGGCATGAAATTCAGGACACCCCTACCATGACTGTTTTAAATCTATGTTCGTTAAATGCCTTCTGCGTTCACTGCTGAGATGTGTATGGGGATAAGATTTTATACTGCAGGCAAAGACAGCTCCACCTTCCTCCCCACTGCCTCGCAAGGAGGGGGTGCTTTTTGGTGCATAAAATTATACATGGTTTGGAGACAATGGAATAGGCTTTCCCCCCCCTCTTCCTCCCTCTCTCAAAATACTAAAACTCAGGGCCATCCAGTAGAATTGAATGTTGAGAGATTCAGGACAGGCAAAAGGATATGCTTCTTCGCCAATGCAGTCCAGCATTTCATCTTTCTCTTATCTGTTTCCCTCCCTGCCCCACCGTTGCTAAACCCCCCTCTCTTTTTTTGCATAAAACCACTGGCCACTTCTATGCCTTATTGGAGCAATTATTTTTCCTTGACCTTCACCTCTGTCTCTCATCCCTTTGATTTGTCCATATATCTGAAGGCGAACTTTGAAACCCTCCAGCAGAGGTCACAAAGCAAACAATGGTTTTGGAAATTGGCAGGCTGCCCTCTGAATCGGAGACCGGGTCAACATTGGCTTTTTCCTCTTCACTTCTTAATCCCTTTACATAATTAACAGACACGCCACTCAATTACACTCAATTTTCACATCCCATTTAAAGGTCACTAGGTTCTACAGTCATCCTTAATATGGAACACTTTTTTTTAAAAAAGGGAAAGTGTAGCTCTGCCCTAGTGCCTGCATTTCAAGCGGGGTGCGTGCGTGCGCGCACGCGCGCACACACACACACACTTAGAATCAAGTTAACTCTTTAGAGAAGGCAGGTGTACCTGCGCTGGATTTATGTATAAGCTAAACAAGCTATAGCTTAGGGCCCCACTCTCTTGCCCCCGCCCCCCAAAAAAATTAAAGGGGAAAAAACCTGGATGATAAAAAAACAAATAAAATAAAACCTACATACAGCAACAGTGTTTTGTGTTGTGTAGGCTCCTATGATGTAAGTAATGGGCCCTGCCTGCTAGTCTGCTCCCTAAAATATCACTGGTTTGCTCATTTCTATATACAGTGGTACCTTGGTTCTCAAACTTATTCCATTCTGGAAGTCTGTTCCAAAACCAAAGCATTCCGAAACCAAGGCACGCTTTCCCATAGAAAGTAATGCAAAACGGATTAATCCATTCCAGACTTTTAAAAACAACCCCTAAAACAGCAATTTAATATGAATTTTACTATCCAACGAGACCATTGATCCATAAAATGAAAGCAATAATCAATGTAGTATAAAATAAATAAAACAGTACTGTAGATGATAAAAATTAAAATTATTTTTTTTTCTTACCTGCAGTGATGATAGTCATTGTTTGGATGGGGGGCTTTTAGGTCCATAAATTACCATATAGCATATATTCAACACAAAAAACAGCAGCAATGTGTTGTTGAGAAAGGACAGCTGGACATATAAAGGGCCCCATTACCTTCAGTAGCTTAGGGCCTCACCAAACCTAAATCCAGCCCTGCAGATGTGTATCTTTGATAGGAATGTCAGAAAACTCCAACAAAAAGAGAAACGGGGCAGCAATTGCTAGTGTTCACTTATCCATTCCCTGTCCAGAATGGAAATCAATCCAGCAAATATGAATGGTATTTGCTGTGGTTGTTTTCCATCTGTGAAAGATATAAAATTGATTACATTTTTTCCCCCATTTGCATTGTGTTTCAAAGGAATGCAGTAGAATAACATAATGAGATTGTAATTGATGAAGTGTTTGAATTTTTATGCTGTGAACTGCCCTCTGATTTTTTGATGAAGGGCGGTATACAAATTTAACAAAATAATAATAATAATAATAATAATAATAATAATAATAATAATAATAATATACATACTTAATTATCTCAAATAACCTAACCTTTTGTGGAAGATGAACTGCAGCAGAATGGAAGCAGTGTCATTTGAGGTGAATGCAGAACCACAACTCTCTTTTTTTTTAAAAAAAAAAATAATTTTTATTAGCAGACCAATCAAATCAAATCACATAAATTCCAAATTACAAAGCCGAATTTTAATTTTTTTTTGTTGGGGGTACCCATATTTCAAGTTCCGAAAGGGATCCAATCTTCTTGTTGTTGCTGCTGCTTGTCCACAAATCTGTCCAAATAGTGTTCACCCTTCTATCCAATCCTTTCTTGTTATTTTCCACATCTCTTCTTGTTATTTTCATATATTTTTCCTTTCTCTTTGTGACCTCTGATAGTCTCCACAAGCAGGTTAAAACAAACTGTTATCCTGTGTGGGTTTTTGCTCATTAATCTTCACAGATCCGTCACTCCCTTTCTCAGTCCTTTGAGGTTCTGCCAGTCCATAACTTCCTCCTCCCGATCATCATCATAAATCTTTCGACAGAACCTGCCAAGATGGCGACTCCCTTTTTATTACTGCGTCATTCCAAGAGCCCTTGTTCTTTTCTCAATCTCCATAAACCAAACTTTTGGTTAGTAATTCATTTCCACACAGTTTTTAATCATCCTGCTTAGGTCAGTTATGCAATGGTTCTTTCTTGGGGAGGGGTTATTGGTTATTCACATAGAAGAAAAGAAAAAAGTCCCCCCCATCCAGTCCTGCTCCGACATACTGAACCTCTGATGTATCTTTGATGTATCTTCTTCAGATATATTCCTGTTAAATCCAACCCGTCGCTCTACTTTCACAGAGGTCACTTCAATTAGCAGTCTTCACTCCCATTCTTCACTTGAAATATGTGCATTTGCTTCTCTCTCTAATTGCTTACTTCGAATTGCTGCAACTAGTGCGCGATCAGAGACAGCATCCGGAAGAGCCAGGACCCACACAAGGGCTTTGTGCCTAGTGCCCTCACCCCCTTCTTTCGAATCCGGGGGTGATTTATGGCCACAGCAGGCAAGGCAGTGTTCCCCATATCCTTGAGGAACAAGGGAGGCTGCATACTCCCATATCAGCCTCTTAATTACCTCATGCGAGCAGGAGAGATGTTATTGTTGGCCATCTTCCAATGCGCCCCTAGTGCCCCCCCCAAACCACAATTCTCAGAGTGGTTTAATAATCATTTCTTCTTCCCATGAGACTCTGAGAATTAAAGCTGTGCAAGTGGAATAGGGATCACCTAGCCAAATTTTAAATGCCTGCAAAGAAACTTCCTAATTTCACCAGTTTAAGCCATTCTCAAGGTGGCTTATGGCATTTAAAAAATGCATAACTACAAGATTATAATAAATGAAACATTTAAAACTATGCAACCAAACTGAACAATTTCCAAATGTATCACAAGATTTTAAATAAAGAGACAGAAAAACCACCAACAAACACAACCCCCAAAAAACCCCAAGCAACACTTCAGCCAAAGTGCCTGTTCCGCAAAAGCCCATCTTAACAACCACAATTCCCACATGGGACAATCTCAGCATGTAACTATTTCTGAGAATCTAATACTTTGTTAAAGAGAACAAAATCAACCATTTAAACACCCAGTATCACATTATTTCTAGACTGTTGCATACTACATAAACCTTCTCGAAATAACTATGATCTTCCACAATACTGCAATACATACCCAAGACATTTTACCAGAGAGTCTGGAGAAGCTGTTCCCTAAGGCAAGGAGGAAGTGAAAGAACTTTGTAAGTTGCAAATCCATAGGTACTAGAGTAATCCCCCTGCCTAATGCAAATTTGGATGTTCTTACCACTCAGATACAATTTCTAAGGACATGAGCCAAGATATTGTTATTGCCATAAGCTCAAACTTAGAGCTCATCAAACCTTGAGCATGATGTTCCTAAGGAGCTCAGCCTCACTGTCATTTTAAGAATGCCCTTAAGCACACTGACTCCAGAAATCTCCATATTCCTTGTAATAAGTAACATTTCAAGCAGAGACTTGAGAAGCCAAGGACAAAAGCTGTACTTTGAAGCTGCTGACCTCGATGTAGATTGATTAATGAGTGACTCTCACTAGCTAGGTGTTGCATACCAGTGTGAGACCTCTGAGACATGCAAATTCCTTTCTCTACATGATCAGTAACCTAGTCAAGTCATCCCAGACACATCCTGATTTGACCTAATAAAAGTCCTCCACACCTGAGGAACTGCACTCTCCAGGAGTCATTTTAAAGGTCATTGACATGACAAATATAAGAAACATTCAACTTAAATTTGCACACAGTAACCTATTTGCACACCATATTGCTTTGCACTCTTCAGCTTCGGTGGAATGTTGATGCTGTAATGGGTATTATTCAAGACCCTAGATAATCTGCCTGCTTTGTTGTCATACAGGGGTGAGAAACTTGTGGCGCTCCAGGTTTGACCACATGTACATTGTACCCGTTGGACTACAATTCGCATCCAAACTCCCATTGCCCATGCTGGCTGGAGCTGATGGGAGTTGGAGTCCATTCTGGAAGGCTGCAAGCTCTCTCTTGGAACAGGCAACAGCCTTTAAACATTTCCCACAGTTTTAAGAAGAAGGAAGCCACTGATGGACCTGGGAGCAGGGACCAGGTGGCTTTCCTGAGTTGTGAATTCAGTTTCACACACCCCCCCCCTTTTTGCTGGCTTCAGTTTTGTTACGGTAAAATCTGGGTGCAGGGCTACTCTGCCACCCAGCTCGTCGGACTAAGTCCGCAGGTCCCCGCGGAGGAAAAATGAGCTCAGCCGGAGGCAGGAGCAAACTGCAGAAGATCCAAGTTTATTGCGCAACAGGTTCAAGATGAGATTGAACAGTGAGAAAGGGGTGACATGAACTTTTGAAACTTCCCTCCATGTCCCAGAATACAGTGCAAAATACATCCCAGTTACATCATGAATACATTAAGGAGAGGTTGGGTTACACAGGTTACATCATGAATACATTAAGGAGAGGTTGGGTTACACCGGATTAACATATGGAGGAGGGACGGGGGAATATGCAGAGCTGGAGATATGTGCAGATAAGCACTTCCTGAGTACCGGTGATGAGAAGTCAATGGTCCATGTATGCATATGCTGTCACCTGGCATTGCCCGGAGGAAAGGCTTGGCAGAGTGATTTGACAGGATTAGGGTCTTGACACCTTACTTGAGGGATTATGGAGGACAGGGGATGTTAGAGGACATTCGGCACAGAAACATGTGTGTATACCTTTAAGAAGTTTCTGGGATTAATTGGCTGCAGGTGACCGTTGCTATAAAGGAAAAAAGCTGAGTTTTGTTGCCTGCCTGCAGGAATAACACCCACCAGAGTTTGTGTTTATTTGCTTAGTAATAAAGTCTTCGTTTTAGTTTGGGTTTTTACACCTATGTCTCCTGGAGTCACTCTGTCCTCTGCCACCGGCTGGAAATCCCCCTCCAACAGGTTATGGGCCCAGTCCCCAGTCCTGAGTGGGCAGAGACAGAGCGTGAAAAGAACCCAGAGACTGGAAGCAACTCAGCGTTTCTCAAGCAGCTGGCTGTGTGAAGGCATCGGCAGGGAGTGTCTGTTTGGGACCAGGAGCCGAACATTTCTTCAAGCCACGTGTGAGTAAGAACTGAGTGGAAAGCTGAAAGCTGGGTGGCGCCATGACTGGACTTGGAGCTGGAGCTTAAGGGGGAGCTTCCTATTTTCCAGTAGAGAAACTGGGAGAGTCCAATTATATGTCATGGAGTTTACAGATGCAGGCGTTTTTAAAGAAAGAACAATGTTGGACTGCTATTGTTGACCCTCCTGTAAAAGAGGAGGATGAAGAAGTAGATGAAGCAGACCAAAGGCTGGAGGACAAAGCCTATGCCAATTTAATTTTGAGTTTAGAGAAGTCTCAGTTATCTCATGTGCGAGACCTTGAAACAGCAAGTGAGATTTGGCAAGCACTGAGAGCAATACATATTAGAGACACTGCTGGCAGCAAAATTACTCTAACGAGAGCTCTGTACCGAGCCAGACTAAGTGAGGGTGAATGTGTTTCAACACACCTTCAAAGAATGCGTGATTTATTTTCACAGTTAAATGAACTTGGGGAACATTTTTCTGAACAGAGAAAGGTTTACATTGTGCTGTCTTCACTTCCTGAGTCATGGGACAATTTAGTGATGACTCTGGAAGCAATCCCAGAAAGCCAATTAACAATGCATTTCTTAACTGGCCGTTTGCTTGATGAGGAGGAAAGACGCCATGAGAGGAAGGCCACAACCCCTCACCGTAACTCCAGAAATGGGAGGCAGTCCAGTAAAAGATATGCAACTGATGAGGAGCGGCAACCTAAAGAGGTTGTAAACCACAGAGAGGAAGCAGCGTTCACAGTTAGAAGATGCTATCGTTGTGGGTCAACCAAGCATTTAGTACGACAGTGCACTGTGTCTGTGGGAGAAAATACAAGACAAGGGCGGCCTGCGTTTGCTGGGAAGCGAGGAGACAGGAAGAGTCGAGTCCAGTATGTTTCTGCAGCAGTTCGAGGCACCAGTCACGACGTTGGACAAGACTGGATTTTAGACTCAGCAGCGACAAACATTTTTGTTAAGTCTGCACAAACCCTTGTAGAAAAGCAGCCTTGTAAATCTGTAAATGTAGTACTAGCTGATGGAACAGTGCATGAGTCAGCTGGAAAGGGTAGTGTGAATATCAACTGTTTAAGTACCAAGTTTACCAATGTTTTATGTGTACCAAGTTTAGAAAATAATTTGCTTTCAGTTACAAGTCTTGTTAAGCAGGGATTTAAAGTAACCTTTTCTGGTTCAGGCTGTAGAATAGAGAAAGCTGGAAAAGTGGTTACAGCGTCACTACAAAATGGTTTGTTTGTTTTGAAAGACCAGCTAGTAAGTGAGTCTGGGGCATGTGTTAAAGCCTGTAATAGAGCCTTGCATGATGAGTGCCAGCATCTGTGGCATCGTCGTTTGGGGCATGCCAATTTCCGCAGTATTGCAAAAATGCCAGAATTAAGCAAGGGAATTAAAATGAAAAAATGTTCAGTTTTTCTAGACTGCAATACCTGCAAGGAGTCTAAAAGTAAGCGAGGGTCTTATCCTGAAAGTACTAGAATTAGCAAGAGGCCATTTGCTTTAGTACATTCAGACCTTTGTGGGCCATTTGCAGAGTCTGAAGGAGGAGCAAAGTTTTTTTTGGTTCTTGTGGATGATTATAGCCGGTATACTTGGGTATATTTGTTAAAACACAAAAGTGAAACTGGTCAACTGATTAAGAATTGGGTCAACTACATAGAAAGGCAGTTTCCCTACAAAGTTACCCAGTTGCAAAGTGACCGTGGAGGCGAGTTTATGTCTGAAGCCCTCCAAGTTTGGTTGAAAAAGCGTGGTATTAGTCACCGTAAATCGTGTCCTTTTTCGCCTGAAGAAAATTCAGTTGCAGAACGCAAGATAAGATCTTTACAAACAATGCTAGATTCAATGCTATGTGATTCTGGCCTATCAAGGAAGTATTGGGGGGAAGGAATTCTGTGTGCTAACTACATACAGAACAGATTGTTTCATTCTACCATAAACAACACCCCTCATTTTTTGCTTTATGGAAAAAAACCCTTTTTGGACCATGTTAAAACTTTTGGTTGCTGGGCTTGGGTTCACATCCCAAAAGGACAGAGAAGGAAAGGAGAGCCCAAGGCAAAGAAACTTAGGTTTGTTGGCTATCAAACTTGGTCAAAGGGGTATCGTTTTGCACTAGGGCGTGGCAGAGTTGTAATATCAAGACATGCAGAGTTTTGTGAGCAAGATGGTTGGGTTCGTTTACATGGAAATTCAGAAGTTATGTTATCTTCTGATGATACAGATAAATTTGTGAAATCTGAGGAAGAAAAGCCACAAATTAAAGAAAGTTCTGAAAGTGACAGTGATGAGGATTCAGGGGATAAGGATCCCAGTACACAATCTCCTAAAGCTGAACCAATTTCTCCTGAGCAGGATAAATCAGAAGGGGAAGATAGTTCAGAGGGGGAGAGTGTTCAAGTTAGAAGGTCACAAAGAAGCAATAAGGGGGTACCTCCAGAAAGGTTTACTATACAAGAAGTTAAAACTGTTGATGTAAAAAAGGAACCTCGTGATTATGAGGAAGTTTTAAAGTTACCACACCAGGAAATAGTAAGGTGGAAAAATGCAATGAAAGCAGAAATGAAATCTTTAGCAGAACACAATGTCTTTACCATTGAGCCATTGCCAGAAGCTAAAAAGGCAGTGGGCTGTAGATGGGTGTATAAAATAAAACATTTGGCAGATGGTGATGTTAAGTACAAAGCCAGACTGGTAGCACAAGGCTTTACTCAAAGAAAAGGTGAAAGCTTTGATGAAACCTTTTCTCCTACTGCAAGGAGTGAAAGTGTACGTTTATTGCTAGCTCTTGCAGCACAACGTGGGTTTAAGGTAAACCATTTTGATATTGAAACAGCTTATCTTAACGCAAATCTGCAAGAAGAAATTTTTATGAATCAAGCGCCAGGTTTTGAGGCAGGAGAACAGAATTCTGTATATAGGCTGAACAAAGCAATTTATGGGCTCAAACAGTCAGCTAGAAATTGGAACGAGTGTCTTGATAATGCTTTAACAAATCTTGGCTTTAAAAGAAGCTTAGCTGATAACTGCTTGTACACTAAAGGAAAGGGTGATAAACAAGAATTGTGTTTGTGTTATGTTGATGATTTGCTTTACTCTACAAAAAGTGACAAGCAAGTGGAAAAATTTGCAGAACAACTAAGAAAGGTATTTAAAGTAAGAGATTTGGGTCCAGTAAAAAATTATCTCGGTTTAGAAATTCAAAGAACAAACGATGGAAGTTTTTTGTTGAGTCAAAAAGGCAAAATAATGGAGTTACTTGAAAGAAACAATATGC